TTGGCTAAAGCAAGGAGGGAATTACGGCCCCTTGGAGTTGGAAGCTGAAGTATGTACATATGTGAATTTTATGAATAGGAGTTACGTTCCAGATGCTTCACGGTTTGTAGGTTTTACAGGATTTGCAGGAAAAGCTGTTTTCCTCATTAATAAACTTTATGGAAGTTTAAGAAACACGGTACGGTTTAGCTATTTGTACAATGATGTTGGGTATTTGTGTCCAAACGCGTGACCCGAGTTTAAAAACTTTAACATACAAGTGTAGTGAAAGAATTAAACTTTAATTTAAAATAAAGATTTCAAATTTCCGAGCACTAGTTGATTAATAATTTATGCAATTTTTTTGGAAACTTTGATGTTGGTTCTGCGCAAAAATACTGTGGATGACGTATCCGGAGTTATATGCACAAGCTATATTGCATATCTTTCACAACAGAAGCGGAGCTACCGCCCCTACTCTTTCTGAAAATTCCTTTGCCTATGTCCCCATTCTCCTGCATCAGCTCGACCAACCGCGCAAGTTGCCTTTTGTTGCTTACAATTTTTGATCTGTAATTCAGACACATGCGTATATATGTATAATTCACAATTTTTTACAACTTCCAGTTTAATTGACTTACTTTTTATCCATTATAGTAACACTTTCTTATGTAAATTTTATAAACGCAAATTCCAACGACTAAAAAACAGCAATAGAAGGATGAGCGATTAAAAAGTATTCACAGTCGCTAATTGAGCGACTAAGCGACACTCACAATAGCATCGATAATCGACAATCGCTTAATAGTCGTTTATCTACTGCCAGTCGACATTCGCAATAGGGGTGTAAAATAAGGTTTTATTCCGTAGTAATTTCCACAATATTGACTTGTACAAGTCTCGGGTTGCGCAATGGTTTGTGTGGTTTAGGGGCCCTATAAGTTTGTTTTTCATTATGCAAATAAGCATACAGATTCTCTGTTGTGAAAGAAAGAAATATCAAAATTTTTTTTATAATTGTGGATTTAATTATAACATTTTATTTATTATTTGTTTTTAATTAAAAATTTAACAAACAACAGTCTTGTTTGCTTTTGATACTTTTTTTGCTTGGAAACTGAACGGCAACGCTGATCACGATGTGTGTTTACGGCGAGATGTTAACTTCATGTTATTCATAATGGACTTGATGTTTACTCCCCTTCTCTGTTCCGGGTCGCCATGTTATTCATAGTGGACGTGATGTTTACTTCTCTGCTCTGGTGTGGGTTGTAATATTACGTCTGTCGAAGATAAATAAATTTGTACGTGGTGCGTCTTCTGTATACTGTTTATTCTGTGGTTCTGTCTAAGTAAAGCTTTTTGTTATCGAATTTTATTTATTTATTTACATATCTACTACTTTCAGACATAGTCATATATTTTGAAGTCACTTTTAAATATAAAGGGAGCTTTTCAATTAAAGGTTGCTTGAGAAAACGGCCATTCGCAATCGGAGGAATCGCAATGAAAGGATCACTTATGATAAAGTAATTGAAAACGCTAGAGGTTTTAAACTATCGGTAGTCAACTAGTACTATCGATAGTTTAAGCTTTTTGAGAAAAACTATGGCTGACTTCCAAAATGTATGTGTGCAATGTATGTATACTGTTTGACTGCGGTGTGCGTACAACGTACCTATGCTTAGTTAAAATACACGGCAAAAATATGCAAAGTAAATTTTTACATTAGTTGCGTTTGTTTACTCATTTCCAGTAAAATCCAGTAAAAGTTTTTACGAATTTTCATGTTTTGGCGTTCTCGTACGCAATAACTTGCAAAGTAGGGGAAATTGAGAGAGCGAAAAATGACAGTTGAAGTTGCAAGTTTTTACTGGACTTTACTGGATAAATTCTTACTTGTAAGAATATAGTTAGGTGTGTACTCGTATTGAGAGGACAAAATTCTCCAGCAGCAGAAGTTCTGAGAATTTAGCAGCATTCGCTCTCAAAGAGACGAAATATCAACAGAAGTACGAGAACGCAAAATTTGCAAAAACTTGCAACCTTCGAAACAGCTGATCACTTGCACAGTTGCCACTGGTGATTAATTTGGCAATTTATTTTCTGTTTGGTACATTTTCCTCTATTTGGCATTTTATACAATTGAATAGTTTTCGATAAGAAAAACCTTTTTAAAATACAAATTAATTCTATCGGAATGAATAAGTTATTTGTCTCATAATTATTTGTGATATCACATGGTGACGCATTCAAAAACAAGAGTATCTCCTCCAAACACCCATCATTGATCCAAAAATAATGTAATAGTATAGCTACAGATGTAGCTTTAAAATTATAAAATTTTCATTTCAACAATCAACCTACGAAAACCGAAAACTTCAGCAAAACAACATTTCAGCATGCTGCATTTAAATCTATTTTGGTATATTTAAAGGTAAATTATGGTACAAACGAAAAATGTCATACGGCAACCAAAGTCAGCACACACTAAAGTAAACAAACTGGAGATTAATAGCAAATTAGCGAAAAATAAACACAACAAACGTTTCATATTAAATTTACTCACTTTTTCGTTGTATACTAACATTAATAATAAAATTTGCAATAAATAACTCAAAAAGGCCATATTTCCTTTTGTTTATTTACAAACATGTGTTGTGATCAGCTGATTTTCTTACTTGCAAGTTTTAGCTGGGAAAAATTTTTCCAGCAGAAATTTGCAGCTCTTTCACATTTTGCTCTCTCAATTTCCCCTACTTTGCAAGTTTTTGGTGTACGAGAACGCAAAACCAGTAAAAGTTTTCTAAAACTTTAGATAGTTGGGCGTACGAGTACACTCCCTATGCCAGTACGAAAAACAGCTGATCGCATGTTGCTGGATGAAATTTAAACTAATAAGGAAACTGTTTGTGGGTTTTTATTGTTGAATTTCACAAAATAAACCTATTTAAATATAAAATATATTGGTTTATTAGGAATTTGCTGCGAATAAACAACCAATTTATCAGCTGTTCATGAAACTTGCAAATTATTATTGGAATGGCGTTCGTGTACTTTTTTGCAAAGTTTTTCTATGAGAGCGAATTCTTAGAAATAAAGTTACTGGAGAGTTGCTGGCAAGTTACTGGATAATTTGTAAACAAACACAACTATTATGGAACACTTCTTATGCACGCACATTTTCGAATTTCGTTTTTGGTTATCGAGCGTTCACTTCGTGTTTCTTTCTCTCATGGCAAGCATCAACTATTTTAGTGATGCTGTGAATACCTGTACGATGCGCTGTCACTACCGTCTTAGTACATTTTGGAAGATAATGCTTAGTTAAAAAAATACTCTTACAATACTCTTACGACGTATACATTGCAAATGACATTTTGATGGTCAGCCTTCACTACTCATCGATAGGGGCAAAAAAATAAAACTATCGATACTATCGATAGTACCATCGATAGTTTGACACCTCTACCGCAGCCGTTCTGCGATGAACATTTGAATGAAACGGATTATATTTCATTTGCAATTATAGCAGCGGAGTAAGAGCGCGCTATGGGAATGATTTCACAAAAATATGCGGAGCTGTCGGGCATAGTAATAATGGGCGCATCTATGTCAGCTTCTGGTTGAATTGTTGAACCACAAGCCGGAACTCCTCCTATGCCTGAAGAACTGGCTCTCAATCCAGTTAACGCAATAACAGCTTCTTCCAAGCCATTGAAAACATGCACTTTGTTAGGTCCACCACCTTTTGCGCTTGCTTCTTCCTTCGGCCGCGCTTAGGGATTATAACTAAGTAGAATTCTCCTTTCTGTGTTTGCGGAGAAGAGGGGCTTCCTCATGCCAAAGGTATACAACATTTCTTGTGCATATCACTCCGGCAACGCCATCCACAGTATTTTCGCGCAGAACCCACATCGAAATTTCCAAAAAAGTGCATAGTGCAAACCGAACTTATTAATAAACTAATGGTCGGAAATTTGAAACATTTGTTTTAAATAAACGTTTAATCCTTTGATTAAGCGTGTATGCATTTGGACACAACAACCGAAAATCATTGTACAAATAACTAAACCGGATCCAAGTTTCTCAATAACGGGCAACACCGTTTCTTCTTTGTTCGTTTATATAAAGCAGTGGACAAAAATATACGTATATGCGAAAGGCAAATTTATCTGTTTAAATGAACACCACTAATATTTCCTGCAAACTCAAACGATTTACATCTTCAGAATTGTTTTCGTACAAAATTACGCAAAAAAGCTGCCAATTTCGTACTCGTTCGTTTTTATTTTCATTTCATTTTCATTTCATTTCATTTATTAATAAAATCATTAGCACAATAAGATCAAAAGAATGATCTTTTATAGCGCAACAAAAAATTCATAACAGCACATACATATAACTAAAACAGCAAAAATTACTTAAGACTAAATAAAAGTAACATAATATAATTAACAGAGTAGTATTTTTAAGTGAGTTCTACAATTCCAGGACATATACTTAAAATAAGACTTAGTTAAACAAGTACATAGAGAGCACATCACAGGGACTGAAGTGAAGCTAACGGAAATATGCATACAGAACATTTTTAGAGTTGCTTTTGTTTAAACTACTGCGAATATGGGATGGAATAGAGTTCCAGATGCGGATAGCATTGACAAAGAATAGCCGTGCAGAGCTGAGATAATTGTAGGTAGGAACAGTCAAGTCCTTTACTCGAGTGGATTTGGGGAACATTAATTTTTCATATAGATATTTGGGTGCCTTATCTGTCATGAGACGAAAAAGGAATACACAATTTCTAGCTTTAAGATATTCAGAAATTTCGCAGCCAAGTAGGCGCGTTCTCCAAGCGGAAATATGTTCATATCTTGCTAGCCCAAACACATAGCGCGTGATCTGGTTAAATACTACATCTATTTTGTGAGCTGATTGGGAATCTAACCTGCTGTAGACTACCTCAGAATAACAGATAATTGGCATTATAAGTTGGATTGCGAGTTTACGTCAGATTTCTATCGGTGTAAATGGAGCAGACATTCGTAAATTCCTTAAAGTATTATAGACTTTGCCTACAGTTGAATTCACATGGTCAATGCAGGTAAGGCCTGTGTTGATAATAAACCCAAGGTTAGTTACTTTTGACACAAATTTAATTGGTTTGCCACCAATGTGTAACGATGGAATAGTTGCTAGGTTAAGACGTTTCTTACAAATAGGTAAAACAAAACACTTGTCACAATTAAGACAAAGACCATTTAACTGTGCCCAGGACCTTATAGACATCAGTTCCCTGTTGAAGCTTGCGCACAAATTAGCTGAGTCCTCCAGAGGACCTGACATGTAGAGCTGGACATCGTCCGCATAGGCATGCATGTTGGCGTGCATAGAAGTCCGAAATATATCATTAACGAACAAACTAAATAGTAGTGGTCCTAAGATTGACCCTTGTGGGACACCCGTGAACAAAGGCCTTTGTTCAGATATTTGAGATCCAACCTTGACACGCTGAGACCTCTCTTTCAGATAGCTACGCATCAGTTTTACTGCTGACTCTCTAAACCCAAAGTAGTTTTTTAATTTAAAGCACAGTAGTTCATGGCTAACTGAATCAAAGGCTTTAGAGAAGTCCAGCAAGCATAGTAGTGTTAAGTGGTTCTTGTCGAACAGTATTCTAATGTCATCAAGTATCTTTACCATTGCAGTAGAGCAGCTGTGATGGGGTCTGAATCCGGATTGAAATGGGGATATAAGGTTGAATTTACCGATGTGGGAAGAGATTTGTTCAGATAACAAAGATTCGAAAACTTTAGACAAGGCTGGTAGTATGCTGATGGGTCGGAAATCACTAGGGCTGGATGCGGATTTATTTTTGGCTACAGGAAGCACAGTAGCAATCTTCCAGGCATCGGGAAAACAGGACGTGGTGAGACTATGGTTTATTATGTGTGTCAAGGTTGGCAAAATAATCGGTAAGATTACCTTCACAAATCTAATCGGAATGCCGTCCTCCCCGATTGCGTTGGACCTGATCTTAAAAACAGATTTCACCACATCAATCTCGCTCACAGCAATGAACTCAAACTTTTCGCCAGCAAAAGAGACCGGGCAGGAGGCTACAGAGTTGGTCGTAAGGGGACAAGATGAAGGCGGAGAAGCAAAGGCAACGCTAAGCGTTTCAGGACTCAACGAGCATTCTGATTTCTCACTGGCATGGACGCGGAGTGTTCTCAGATTTCGCCACAATACATTATTAGGCAGTGAGGGATCCAGCTTATTCATAAAGAATTTTTTCTTTTCACGTCTTATAACCGAGGTAGCTTCATTCCTTATTGTTTTGAAAGCACTCCAGTTCTCATCTGTCGGGTTCCTTTTCCATATGTTATAATATTTATTGCGTTTTTTAATCACTGATAGGACCACACCATTAAACCAACGGCAGGAAGAAGACCTGTCACAGGTTCGGGTAGGGACATGAGTGAGGAGCGAATTGAATATATTTTCGTTTAGGAAACGGAGCTTCTCATTGACCGTGCTGAGACCCCAGCAAACAGACCAATCGATCTGCAAGAGGCTACTGAAAAGGTTGTTGACATCTAAGGAACGGTAGTCAAAGAAGTTAAATACATAGGTATTGTCGTCATAGTGATCAAGTTTAACGTCAAAAGAACAAAATATCAAGTCATGATCAGATATAAAAGATGTTTGGTCAAATTTCAAAACAATAGAAGGATCAGATACAGCAAAGTAATCTAATAAGCTGGGACAGCAATTGCTACCATATCTTGTGGGCACCGACAAATTAACCATAGACAACCCAACACAGGAGATATCATCTATTAAACGAGCACTGGTAGAATCAGGACATAACAGGTTCACATTAAAATCACCACAAAGAATTATATGGTCATAATCTACAGAAACAGTGGACAGAAAATTAAAAAAGTCACATAGGCTGAAATACTTATAGGGATTATACACACAAGACAATAGGATTTTGGACGAGGGGCTAGACATTTCGACAGACAGGTACTCCACGCAGCTTCTTTCTGAATGTGACTGCGAAACCTGTTTGGTTTTTAGGTGCTTTTTGCAGTAAATAGCAACTCCACCACCTTTTCTATCTACCCTATCAGAACGAAACAACTTATAACCATTAATATCATAATGGACACTGCTTACATTGTACCTGAACCACGTCTCAGATACACATATAACATCGACTGGAGACAATTCAAAAGTGTTCCTTACTATATCCATTTTCTCAGAATTAAGACTGCGCGCATTAAAATGAACAATGTTCAAACCCGTTTGTTGACCGCACATGATGTTCACCATTGCACGACTACAATTGTCAATGTTAGCCGTTTTGCTGCTGGGTACAACCATGATATTTTACGCGTATAAACAAAAGCAACTTTAAAGCATAAGGGATAACAATATTAAGAACAAACAAACATAAACTGAGATGTGCCAACTTTACAACAATGAATACATAACAGAGGGAACATAAAAACAAAATCTTATACCTAACGAAAGCGCGCTAAATCATCTTCGCAGGTTAATTTGATAGCGGGGCTATTTTTGTCTTTTTCATTTCTTACGTGCACCTCGCCTCGCATTGTGTATACCGATACCAGCTTACCCTCTCTGCGTAGCTTGATAGCCGCTTGTAGTAAGCGCCTTTTCTCTTGAGTGAGACTCTCAAATATGTGGAAAATTCCATCCATTCCAATGGAGCTTAATGACACTGCAGATCTAACTCGCCTGCGATACTCCCCAAAAGCGCGAAGGGTGCGATTGCGATCATGCGGGGAGTGAAATTTAACGACAATCACGCCGTTGCGGTTGGCAGTGGGGCGCGTTCGGAAGATGTCGCGAATTTGTGGAGACATGAAATCGATGGAGAGACAAATCTGGTTAAATATGCTCTTTAGGTTCTCCCCATCCGCATAAGGCACACCAAACACAACAGCATCAGCAGAAATATCAGGAGTAGGTTTTTGTTGTAGTGCACTAGAAACTTGCTGTTGTAGGTAGGCAATATCGCTTTCAGCCTTCTTCATATTAGCTTCCATCAAAGTTAAGCGCGTAGTCGTCTCGGCCACTTTCTCAGTAATCACAGCTATCTCATCATCTATTCGCTTTGTTAATTTGTTCTCCAGCT